AAATATTTTCCAGATTTCATTGAAGTGTGAACGGCGAATTGTTTCTGTATGTTTGCGATAGAATAATGATCGTACTCTTAAAAATAAATGTTTACTATTACAAAGTAATATACCCATGGCTTAGCCATTCTTAGATTTGTAACATTAATCGCGTTTTTTCCGAAACCATACAAGAGAACCTACCCTAGTCCAAATGAACCCGTATAAGTAATTCATAAATTGTAAATTCGAAATAATTCTATTCGTTTTTAATGTCTTAACAATGACTACGTATTTATTTTATAAATTTTTGTGACATTTTTTTACGTTTCTAAAGTCTCAGGAAATATGAGATTTTTTTAAAAAGTGAAATACATATATTTTATTTATATTATGTCGTGTGAAAAAAACTCTGCTTGAGCCTCTACGGCATTGGGGTCCACGACAGGTGCTCACGTGAGATGATTCATGTGAGCAACTGCATGAGGGCCAACTCAGAGGTTCGCATCATCCCTATTGAAAATCCCCACATGGGAAAGCACATATAGGAATCTAGATGGGACCCTATGTCAAAAACCATGTAAATGCCCACTTCCATAAAGGATTTTAAGAAGGAATAGACATTAGAAATTTAAAACGTTGGTCTATGTATAAAACCATATGAATTCCTGTGTGGGATACTAAATGAAATTCCATATAAGTTCCTCTGTAAGAACCCTTATGAAATCCAAGGTCTAATATGAATCCACAGGGGCGCATGAATATCCCATAAAAATCATTACCTAGAATTTTCATTTGTATAGGAATTTTATTTGACAGAATTTATTTTCAGATGAATTTTCATTTTTCGAATTAGCATTTGAGTTACTCTCTTTGTAAAAGAAATTTTATTTAACATAATTTTTAGGTACGGAATTTTTATTTTAACGAATTTTTTTTATTTACCTTTTGTTTAAAAGAATTATAATTTAACCAAATTTTTAATTTATCAGGATTCTCATTCAACAGAATTTTCGTTATTCGAAATGTTTAATGTCCGAATTTTTTATTTATCGAATCTCTATTTGTTTGAATTTTTATTTACACGTATTGTTATCTGATAGAATTCTTAAGGTCATGTGACTGTTAGGTCTGCCCACACAGCACCGAAAATTTCCCGAAGAATCATTAAAGATTTAAAAGTTAATAAGTAAAATGATTTTATCACTCGGTCGATATGAAATAAAAAAACATGAAGATAGCGATCACTCCAAATCAAGGTGTGATCCGAGTCAACCTTAACTCGGAGTGATCACTATCTTCATGTTTTTTGTTTAAACGTTAATTTGGGAGTATTGAATCGCCGGGTTCAGAAAAGATTGTTTAAATATTGAAATGTCCGCTTGTGAGTAAATGTTTAACGCGAAAGTTGACTGAATATGAAAATTACATTTTTGTTAAAGGTTCAAAACGAAAGTTGACTGAATATGTAATTTACAGTTTCGTTAAAGGTTAAATGCGAAAGTTGACTTAATAAATATATGAATTGAAGTTTCGTTTTTATACTGGGCAAAAATGTTTTTTTAAATAAATTTAATTACTGTTTAAATAATAGTTGTCACATATAAAAAAGGATAAAATAATATAATTATAAGGAGAAAAAATTAAATAAGTAAACATTTAATTATTATCTTTCATTTATTGGCACGGATATATCACATATAAAAACATTTAAATAGAAGATTTCCAAATCTCACGTTTACCACGTAATTATGGTTCTCACAAAACTAAAAACAATTTAATATAAAAATATATTTCGCCAACTATAAAATTGTACGTGTTTTTTAACAAAAATTTTTTTACGCTTTCTTAAAAACAACGCACTTATATTTGGGATGATCGATGAAGGCCAACCATATAGAAGAATCTTTAAGGAGGGTGGCGGGTCAACATAACCTCAAAAACCTGTCAAAACTAAAAAATTGTTTTTAACGCAAACAAAAATATAATAAATATTAATTTGAAACAATTTTAGAAGATCTAGATTTACTCCTTTCGAAAAAAATTATTTTTATCCAAAATATTTTGTTAATAATTATTTTTTTAACATTTAGTTTTTTTTTCTTTTAAATCAGACAAAAATTGCAATTTTTAACCAATTTTTATAAACAAAAGCTGATTTTACTAAATGAAACATTCTCTCCAATTGTTACCTTTTTTATATTGTAATACGTATGTTCTTAAAATGTTATTTAATAAATAAAATTTTAATTGTTTATAACTTTTTAAGAACATACTTATTATAATATAAAAAAGGTAACAATTGTATTGTTTATAAAAATTGGTTAAAAATTGCAATTTTTGTCTGATTTAAAAGAAAAAAAACTAAATATTAAAAAAATAATTATTGACAAAATATTTTGGAAAAAAATAATTTTTGTCGAAAGGAGTAAATCTAGATCTTCTAAAATTATTGTTTGAAATTGTTACGTATAAATTTCGTAACGTATTATTAATAAATTATTAACATTATTAATAATTCATTAAAACAATACTTGAAAAAGAGGACACATTATGCAACACAGAAAACAAATAACATTGACAACAATAAATTTGTTAAATAAAATATACTTTTCCCCACTAAAAGTCAACTTAATAAAATCAGTTGACACACAAAGATCGAGGTCTTCCAAGTGTGGTCTCCGAGTGAGACAGGTGGAACAACCCCTTAGACCAGGGTTGTTTATTGTCAGTTGTTGTTTGGGAGAGAAGAGAGAGCTCAGTGTGGAGCTTGGAGTTTTTGAGACTTTCGAGTTTGAGTTTGAGTCTCTGAGTTAAGAGACTCTTTGAAACACACCTCTAGTTTTGAGGTTGTTTCCATTTGAAGTTTTATTCTGAGTTTTATCTGAGTTGTGATTTTTGAGTTGAGATTATTTAAAGTAATTATTTTTGAAAATAATAATAGTAATTATGTTTATGTTTTCTATTGAATTTTGAGATTTGTTTGCCATAATTGATTGAGATAAAGAGAATATTAAATAACTATAATAAATTGGAGAATTGAAATAACGTTTGAATTGAGTTACGAGGAATTCCAAAGGTAAATATACGAAAGAGTCAAGGTACTCTTAACAAATTACACACACAACACCCTTACACTTTCATTACATATTTTCTTTCTAATATTCCTAAACCAACTGTTCTATTAATATGGAATCTCAACCAACTCACTGAATAATAGTGAGGTAAGGAAGGGATCCACTATCTATACAATATAATTTGTCCGAAGGGCACCGTATGTTAAAGTACCAAGATCTTTTAGAGTTTTTGAAAATATCAATCTTTGATTAATATTGATAAAAACTAATTGTCTAATTTTCAAAATTCATCTTTAACAGAAATTAATATTTATTATATTTTTGTTTACGTTAAAAAACAATTTTTTAAGTTTGACAGGTTTTTGAGGTTATGTTGACCCGCCACCCTCCTTAAAGGATCCTACGCTGGAATATACATAAATTCTTGTGGGTTATTCATATAGATATTCACATGGGAACCTTTAACGAAAATGTAATTTACATATTCAGTCATATTCTTAGGACGTCTTTAAGACGCCTCAAAGACGTCTTTTGTCATAACTCAAAAAGACGTGTGCCCATTGGGCAGCCAAATTCACTGTGGTTCCTTTTAAACCACTATATTTTCACAACGACATATAGCACCATAATATTATTTAGTTTTTTAGAAACAGCAGAAAAATTAAAAAGAAATCAAATCAAAAGAAGATAAATTTTAGCAATAATTTTATTTTTTTTAATATTGGTAATGATAAATTATGATAAAATTATGATAAAATAAATAAAATTAAATAAATAAATAAAATTTTTAAATTATGATAATTATGCTTATCAAATGAAATTAATTAAGCTATTAGTCGTAAAAGTAAAGAGAAGAGAATCTTATTATATGGTTACTTTAAGAGATGATATACACCTCATAACAGTTTCATTGGCACTTGCAATGTTTAGCAATATGTACTGTTATTCGACAGATGATGCAGTTGAGTAGCCATTAAAAAAGAGGATGGATATGAAGTGATAAGCAACTTGATGAGAATCTAGGAGCCGTAACTAAGAGATAACTAATGTTCTATTTCATTTTGCATATTTTATCTTAATGAATGTAATAAGTAATTTACGTTATATATACTATTAAAAAAATAATTTTTTTACATATTACTTGAAAAATAAAATTTTCTAAAATTAGTAGAAAAATCATTTGTGGGCCCGAAACGGTCCAAACAAAAAGTTTCCAAAAAAATATTATATCATCGCATTAAGAGTTTTTGGGGTCGCTGAATACAAACTTGAGGTCAGATTTAAAACTACAAATTTAGATTCAGTGACCCCAAAAATCCCCGAGTACAAAAATTTGAACAAATCGAATCAATTTAGAAATTTTGCGCCATATTGGGTCTGCCATTTTTAATTTTTTAAATCTGATTTCAAATGTGGATTCAGCGACCCCGAAAACCCCCGAGTACCGAATTTTGAACGAATCGAATCAATTTTAAAGTTTTCTGCAATGTTGGATGTTCACATTAGGTCGACAAATTTGAATTTCTTAAATTTGACCTCAAATTTGGATTCAGAGACCCCAAAAACCCCCGAGTACCGAATTTTGAATGAATAGAATCAATTTTAAATTTTTCCGCCATACTGGGTCCGCCATTTTGAATTTTGTAAATTTGACATCAAATTCTGATTCAGCGACCCCAAACACCTTAGTATACTCATTGACACTCAGATCAAATTATGTTTAGTATTGTTTTTTCTAAGGTGGACATATATGTCCAAACTCATAAAGGTGGCTTGACTTTTTTCTGGATTCTTAAAAATCTAAATTATTATAATACTAAATATAAGTTATCATAACTTGATCACAAAAATTTCAATGAGAAAGCAAAGTGTTTATAAAATAAGCACAAAAAATTCATACTTTAACTTAGCAACGGTTTTTTGATATCTTCTTCATTGTTTCAGGGGATTTGGAAAGCAAGGTTATCAATGTCAAGGTGAGTCTTAATTATTTATTACAATAAGTTCATAAAAATTAAATTTTTTCATGCACTTGAGAAACCCATTACCAGCAGAAAAAAAGTGAAACCAATGTTTTACATTGTTGCGAAAATTGTTGACAAATTTTATCAAGTTTTAACCCTTCGTCTGTAAACGTGGTTCATTTGTGTCCCAGCCAAAACTGTTTAGTTAAATATCTTTTTAAGAAGCAATTAGAACCTGATGCTGTCTTCATCTAAAAAAAGTAACGTAAGAAAGAGTACTGACGCCCAAAGGTGAAGATCCTAGTCCTTTATTGGCAGATGCAATAAACTTAAATATTTTCGCTGGGACGGCGTGCACTCGAATAGCAGCTAAGCACCGTCACTATAATAAATTATATCTTTTATATCCAAGATTATCTTTATTTCTGGAATTAAAAAACGTTGAATGATGTAGATTGCAGAAGTGTCTTACTAAGTGCTGTCTGATAGAAAAACCACAGTGAAAACAGTACACTGTTCGTTCTTGAAGTAAAAAGCCTGAGTGCTTCCTGTACTATATAATTGTGATTTTCGGAGAAATATAAAGTCACTAAAATACTTGATTCTCACGAAGATTATTTTTCAGGTCTTCAAATTACAGGGCTTGCTGTTCTGCAATAAATAAATGCGATTTTAAATTTGCAAGAATTTAACATGATTTTTCAATAAAGTCTTCAGAAAAAAGTAATTTAGTGTTTAAAGTCCATCAGTCAGTTCCTGTTCATTAACTGAATTTCACTTGATGAATATTGTTACTCATTTGTCATACTTTTAATGGCAATGGCATCAATCATAAAATTACAATTTTTATTGTGGGTGCAAAGACAAACTGCATGTGTTCCGCAACTTCCATAAGTATATAGTGCTTGGACGCAATTCTGCAGACATACTAAAACATACAGGAAAATCTGGGTATATTTGGTTTCTTTGGATATTTAATATTGACAAAATCACTTGATGTTTATACGTTACAGGAAAAATTCTTTAATCGTTTAAAATCGATAAAATAGATTCAAATTAACAAGTTTACCTAGGCTTAATTTGAATTGAATGCTTTTAATTTTTTTTTTGAATCAATTTGCACAAGTATTGTACGATTATAACAGGAATTTATTTCGTCAGTTATAAGAGGACCTTTAATAACATTTTTGTTTATTTTAATCTTTATGAAACGAATGAAATACGCTAACACGGGTTTTAATTTAGTAAACGATTCGAAATTTTGCAAGAGAGAATATATTTCATTATCTGCAGCGATGAGCGTAACGAGAGAAGCACGACGTTCTGCTATTTTGAATATTTTTAATCCTGTAAATGGACAGTTTTCTTCGTTTTCACATAACCAATTTGGCCCGTTTTTTCAAAGTTTGTTTTCAATTATTTCGAATGGCGACAAACCACGAAATACAAAGTCGACAGGATTTTGTTCGGTTCGAATATAGTGCCAAGCGAAATTAGATGTAATTTTCTGTATCGCTGACACACAATTTGCGACAAATGTCTTTAATGCATGAGACGGAGTGTTTATCCAATACAATATGATCGTTGAATTTGACCCTTGATTTGACCAAAATATCACTTCGTTGAACTTTAGACGACGCAATGCATTGTCGTTGTCTCAAATAATTTTGTTAATAAAAGTGCTCCACAAAGTTATAATCAAGGAAGAAAAATCAATTTTAAGGGAGCAACTTGTGATTAGAACATATAAGCTGAGATAAACAATGGCCATACTTATTAACAGATCGCAAGTATATACACGCACCGTATGCTTTTTCACATACATTACAAAAACATCCCAGTAAAAAAGAAATTATTGAGCAAGCCGTTTGTTCAATTGTCCAAACGACATCTAGACAAAAAATGTGGATTTCCTAATCAGGGCCACATCAGGCACGGCGTTTCATTCCTTAATAGGGCAGCCTGATCCGGCCCCAATCTATGCCCTGGCAAAATTTCTGCACGAAATGCATTAGGCCCAATCAATCTACACATATTTAGAGGCTACGCAAAAGAAAAATTGACTTACCTTTATATAAAATTTAAAAAAAATTAATAAAAATAGATAAATATTGAAAAATAAACTGTAAAAGAATCTGTAATTGTCAAAAACGACAAATTTTATGAAATATTTTTTTTGGTTACTGTGCGTTTGATTCTGCAGGTAAAGGGATATTTCTTTACCGACAATATTTATATTTATTTATTTTTATTAATTTTTTTAAGTTTTATATAAAGTTAAGTCAATTTTTCATTTTTTTAGCCTTTAAATACGTGTAGGTTGGTTGGGCCTAATGCATTGGATGGATTGAGCAAGCAGTCGAATTGTCCAGATGTCGTTTGGACAATTGGCTTCCTCGATTGTCCAAACGGCTTGCTCAATAATTCCTTTTTTACTGGGAATACAATTGCAAGTTCTCATAGTCTTGAATGGCAATTTTTCGATCAATTTTCACGTTTAATAAAGGTAATTCGTTACGATAATTTTTTCTTGTCGTATCGAATGTTGTGGGTAGATATTGATCCCATTCTAATTGTAATTGATACAATTGTTGCATAATTATTTTTGTTCTCACGATTACGGGACCCAATGGGCCTAGGCGGATCAAATAATTATGCGATTTCAGAAAGCACATTTTTTTTGGGATTTTATCCGGAATTTTAACTTTTTGAATAGAATATGTAATGGTATGCATTATAACGTTAGATTTTAATTTATTATTGACTTTATTTTATTTAATTTTTATTTATAACGTTCATTTTTATGGGCGAGATTAACGAATTTTAATTTAATTATTTTATTATTATCTTTTCAATTCAATCTACGTCATCTACACTTTTTAATTATTAATTTGCCAAGACGCCAAGTTATATTATGGAAAATAACTAAACCAAGAAAAATAGTTAAATAACCCGAAAAGTAAATTTTATAATTCTACTTAGGAAAAACTAAAACCAACTCAGGAATTCTATTGTTACTTTACAGCAACAATAGACCACGGTGAGGGGGGATAAGGATAAACACCATTAATTAAACAAAATTTATAACATTAACACTATTTTTTAATAATGACTTCAAATTTTAAAGAAATTAAGAAAATGTCAGAAGGCCGAATAACAAGATTTAAATTTATTTATTTATTTAATATACTTTTTAAATAATAATGAGATCGATTCAGAAGAAAAGCGACTCATAATACTATACATTGCACACAACTATGCTGTACGAACACCAGAATGAGAATGAGAGAAAATGGTTGACGAGACAAATTCGAAAGCGTCGTTAAACAACGGCCTCTCTTCTCGGTGTCAATCAGATTAATTAATATTTTATAATATAATATCCGCTTTCAATAATTGATACTCGGTCGTTGGTAACGCAGATCCCTGTACTATTTGTTGTTAAATTGATTGATGGCGAGAAGTCCATAGGAAATTGTCTGCCAGTATTAATTTGATAGATCGGCAACAGAACAGCAATTTCGTCTTCCTGATGCTCTTAAATATTCGAGACTCTCATCCAAATATATACACCAGGAAGTTCTTCCCTTGATGACTTCAATGATAGATAGTGATGTCCTAAACGTCTTTGTGATCCGGCGAGAATCCTTAAGGCCAGGTCCAAGTCGTGTCAGCTGTTCCATTGAAACTTCAAAGGAACAGCTGACTCGACTTGGACCTGACCTTAATGCCTCGCAAGAGTATTCATAACAGAGCGAAAGAACAAATCAAAATCGAATTTATTTATTATAGGTCGACTATTAATCTAACGACTTTGGCAAGTTGGTTTATTAAAACGTGAATTTGATTCTTTAAAGAAAATTATGTGAGTATTATAAGACAACAATTTTTTAATTTATAACATTATATAGCCATCATGGCTGGATTCCTACCCTGGTGTAATTTATTTACAAAATTCATTATAATTTATTATTTTTGAGTTATTTGTACGCGACAAAATGCCGCGTTACAGCATATAATACTCGCTTCGAGGTAAGATTTTGCCTCGTCTTCAACTAATTGTTTTAAAATTCGAATTGACAGATATGAAGGAGAAGATATTCCGCACGTTACTGTGTTTAAATTATAAGTTTTAATGTTGTTTGTCATCAAGCAACAAAATTTGGTGAAATTTTCTATCTGAGGAATGTAATGCTATTTACACCGATACATTTTTGATATATCATCTATGAACGCGTATATGTGTGAGGGAAACCGAATAAGTATCGAAATAAGATCTTCTTGTACAGTAGGACCTACCATAAGAATGTCATTTAATTAGATATCATTTGACGTTTTATCTGGGTCTACGAGACGAATATTATATAAGGAATTTGAAATTCGTTTTTGTTTATGTATCTAGTTCGTAGAATGATAGCGATTTCATCAACTAATAAGAATTAAAAATTTAATGTAAAATCATTTATGCAAGATTTGATAAAAGCATTCACTGAATTATTGATACATGATTCAGTTTTGTTTACACCACTAATTGCAATTGCAATTTTATCGAGTTTCAAAACTAATTTCTTAACCATTCATTTTGTCAACATTCGCGCATAAGTTATCATTTGCTGAAGTGGTTATTGACTGCTTATATTGAATCAATTGCTCATTTGTTAATTTTTCTCTATGCAAAAGGGTATGATGCTTACCATTACATTTTTTACATTTATGTCCTGTACAATCTTTAATTTGATGATTAGATTTTAAACAATTGAAACCAAGACTAGCCCTTTTAATAATCTTAGCTCTTTCTTTTACTGTATAACATTTAAAAGTTTTTCACAATTTTGAGTATAATGCTCGTTCTTGCATAAATAACAATATAGTTTTCTCGTCTGTGTTGAATACGTGAATGTTTAGGTTGTATCTGTCGATTGTCGAGGATTAGGTCGAGATTTAACTATTGAGGAATTTTTTCTTTTTCAGGTCGGATAACTTCAAGAATTTTTAAAAAAGGTTTATTTAATGCTCAAAGAGCACAATAGTGTTTATTCCTTTCGTCTAGATTCATCCTATATAGATTTTGATATTCCTTTAGTGACTTGTTTTATTTGAAAAAGGGCTTTAATACGATTGTTTATAACTTATATCAGATCATCATAATATGTTTCTAAGTATGACAGGATCGTAAATATTTAAGCTTTTGAGTATTGCGAAAGGATGGATTTAAAAGAATCTGCAAAACCTGGCCAACGTTTGTAAAAACCGCTGAATTAAGCAAAATAAGTAATTACTATACACATTAATTAGTCGCCAGGGTATTCAATATACAACATTAGAATATCTAAAGATACTAAAATGGAATATGTTATATTTTAATTTATTATTCTCTCCTATTAAGATTATTTGAGAGGAATCTTGATATATTGTTTGTTGCAGTATGCAGCTTTGTTGTTCACAAACGTTGTCACGAATATGTCACGTTTACTTGTCCTGGAGTTGACAAAGGTGCTGATTCTGATGTAAGTAAAGTATATACACATGTTTTCGTATACTTTATAATTTACAAAAACAGATTTTAGTGAATTATTTATGGACAACATCTTAGTAAAATAAAAAAAGTATAAATTTAATTGATATTCTGACTATAACTTTAGTAGAAATAAATATTTTCAAATCGTCTTAGTTGCAGATTATGTCATTTTTAACATGTGATGGCATTTCTTATAGGCTGTAAGTGCTCCTCACAAATGGGATGTCATTACTTACCTTACGCCAACGTTTTGTGATCACTGCGGATCGATGCTTCATGGCATTGCACATCAAGGTTTAAAATGTTCAGGTAATAAAATAATCATTCAATAACCATATTTTTACAAAAGAAAAACCTCATCTTATTTCTATGAAATCAGTTATTTGTTCAGTTATTTGTAACACAAGGACAGTAGTATCACTTTAACATCACATACTATTTTTTATCACAGTGACACCACAAGTGTGATTTTAGTGCCACGATTTTTCATATCAAAAAAATAGACTTAAAATAATCAAAAAATCGTTCTTATTCTAAAAGCTTATTAATAATTTGTTTAAATAGCATGTGATATGAATGTTCACAAAAAATGCCAAGAGAGTGTACCAAATCTTTGCGGCTGCGATCATACTGAACGTCGAGGCAGAATACAGTTACATATCACTTGTGTTGGAAACAAACTCACAATAGAAGGTAACAAAAATAATATATAAAATAACTCTTTGTGCTTAGATTTTTATACTTGAAGCTGGAAATTTAATTTTTTAATGGTTTTCGATGTTATATGATACTTAAGTCCATGAAGTTTTTCTTTATAATAGGGTAAAGGCACCAATTGGAAAATATAATTTAATGATCAGATCTTAAAAAAAAGAGTACAATCAAGAGACAAGCCAATATTATATCTGTACTGAAAAAAAAATTTATTTGATTCAAATAATCGTTGACTTGACTATTATCAAATAATTATTTATTTGTATAAAATAATTATTGAGTCAATTAAATAGTCTTTGATTCAAATACAGAAATTATTGGTTCAAATACGATTTATTTAATTAAAATAAAAAGTATTTGGTTGAATTAACTGTTTATCTAATAATACTGCCGTGTTAAACAAAAACTTACGTGACATTGTCGCTTAGGTTGATTTTGGTGCATTTTACTTCTGAAATACCGACCAAAACAACAATGTCACTTACGTAAGTTTTTGTTTAACACGGTAGAATACTCAAGGAATCGAGTTTTTGATTCAAATAAATTTTTTCGAGTTCTCATTTATATAAATTTAACAACGTTTAAGTAGATTTAGATACCGTTGTAAAATTTTGTTTTCTGAACTTTTATAGCATCTTTGAAAACGTTTTAAAGTGGTAGGGGAGAGCGGGGCAAAGCCGCTGATGTAACATTTATTTATAAATATTTTTGTTATTACACCTTCAATTGACGTGATTTTTTTTTCTATTTCATCTAAAACTAATTAATAACAAATTTCAATAGTAATTATTTAATTTATTATAAGCTTGATTAATTAATTTAATTATTTTCAAAGAGATGCAAAAAAACGGCTTTGCCCCGTATGGCGGGGCAGCGACGTTTTTGCTTATATTTTTTGAAAGTAGAAAATTATAGCCGTTAAAACTGTACGAAGTTGCAGTAAATGACCTAATATCTTTGAAACATAAGTATTTTATACATTTTTTAAAGAGTTTTAAGTTATTTTATAAAAAATATCAATACTTGTATTTTTAACCTCACATTTTGAATTTAACTCTTCACTTTTTCGTTGAAAAGTCTACTTTAGCGACTGTTCAAATTCAAAAATAATTTAAATAACGGCGCAAAAAAAATATTATGCCCAAAACAGGCACAAAAAAGACACTTTTTCATGTCAATGGCGAAAAAAATAATTTATGTTCTAAATGAAATATTATTTTAAAATTATACTATTTTAATATATTATATAATAAACACAGATTTTTTACATAAAAATAACTAATTTCCTTTATTTTATTTGATTTTGTGAAATAATGTAACATGATAATATAGGAAATTTAAGATAATAACAATAGTAATAAAAAATAATTAAATTGAAATATGTAATTTTTGAAAATAAATAAAAACAATTATTTAATATTATTTTATTTAATATTAATTTATTAATTTTAATTTATGTTTTGGTTAAAAAATCAGGTTAATATTTGTTGACATTTGATTCATGTGAAGTTAGAAAAACTTCAAATATGAAGGTAATGCAGATTTTCATTTTCAACTGTTTTTACGAAACAGTTTTTAAACGGCTTTGCCCCCAATGACATACATTTTTTATTTTTAAAATTTAATTTATTTAAATAAAAAATAAAACCTAAATTTCATGCAGATCGTGTAGATAAATGTTTGATTTATTCAAGCAAAAAGTTTTTAAGACCTAAGTGCTTAAAACAATTTTTTAAATTTGAATCTTCGATCAACGAAATTTTCATCTCTTCCTTGCAAAAACTATTTTTATGTTATATTTCCTAATATATTTAATATTTTTTAGCTGTTTCTTTTCCAATCTATTGCTTTAATCGTATTAATAATAAACTGTTAACGAAAATTGTAATAGATTAGAAAGAAAGAAGATATTTCAAAAAACGCCTTTGCCCCGCATAGCGGCTTTGCCCCGCTCTCCCCTATAAGTTCACCAAAAATTAAATTTTTCTTGTAGTTAAAGTTTTCATTAATGGTAAGTATATTTAATAAAATACTAGGTACAACATTATGATCTGAATTACTAAACTATTTTTATATCTTTTAAGATTTATTGAAAATAATGAAAAAAAAGTCAGTCAGTTTTTTTTACATTTATATTGAAAAATGCAGTCATTGAATTACTTCGCTGAAAATTGAACCAATCTTGTCAGAAAATTTTTTTAATATAAAATAATTATAAATGGAATCTATTAATTATGTTTTCTTGCAAAATAAGTCTGTTTGAATTACTTCAGACTTCACACAGAAAGATTTTGTATCTATTTTACTGCGTGTCATTAATATTTCTTTATTTAACAATATATCTACATTTTTATTTTAATTAATCTATTACGAACTGCATCATTATGATTATGAATTCTCTTTAAGAGAATCAATTCTAGGGCAAGAATCACATCGTTCATTTGAAGGCGATTTTCGAGTCATTAAATGGCAAATTTTTAAAGGATTGCCACACATAATTGTTTGCAGACATTATTCATAAGATGACAATGCATTTCTGCTCTGCTAAATGTGAACCTGGATCACCAGCAGCTATCCATTGCTTTGGACTCAACAAAAAAATTTTGCTAATCCTATTTTTATTTTTGGATACTCTTGCTTAAAGAGCTTATAGAGTTTATCTATATTGAATTCTCTTACCGTCATTTAGTTTTACTGATACAAAATATTTTTTTCCATGCATTATTCTACTGTTATCTTCTCTGAAATAAAATGGTTTTACCAAATTTTCATTTTCATCTGGTAACAGTCGTTCATTTAGAAGAGGTAGTGATGATAAAATGCCATATTTTTCAACCAATTTCTTCACATTTTTTTCCTGCCCTCTAGAAGTTGCAAACTCTTTTACAAGCTTTTTCTCATTCTAAGATTTAGGTGCACAAGTAAGAAACCAGATAACAATCGTGCGGTGCACGTTACGCACTCGGCGTGCGAGTCAGTCGATGGATGGCATAACGTACGCATATCGTATTCACGAAGTGATGGCTGCACTAGTGCATGCACAGTGAGTAGCATTTTGATTTCACTAATGCGAGTGAGTTCTCGCACGTGTGAAGATATCATGAGACTATGTAAAATAACATAGACATTAGTCAAAGTTGTTTTTTCAGATTTCTCGCGTACACCTTTTTTAAAGGTTTTTACGTATTCTATTCCCCACGTTTTAACCCCACTTCTGTAAAACTCCGAAGTCCCCAAAGTTGCGGTCCGTAGCCGACTTTTTATTAGAAGTATTCGCATTTGCCTGACCCTTTCTTGATCAGAGTAGAGGGAAACTACGGAAAACCTCTACTGAATACAGCCGGTTTATTGACTGTCGAGTCATGAATGTACATTTAAATAGTCATCCAAAAGCACACACATATCCTTAACGTCAAACCTCCCGCTTAGTATATCTCGATTGCAGCGAAAACACCAGGGCTATGGCGGTCACCCATCCAAGTACCAACCGTGCTTGGATGTGCTTAACCTCGGCGACCCAAGCCAAGGCGCTTCACCGCCCGAGCTATACTGTCGGTTTAGTAGATTCTTCTTTTAAACTTCATAATTCATATACTGAATTTAAGTATGCGATGTAAAAAAAATAAAGAATTATTTTTAGGCTGCAAGCGCCATTTTAATTTAACATGAGTTGTACTTAAGTGTGATTAACATTAATTTGCAGTTATTCAAGGAAGAAATCTTATTCCCATGGATCCAAACGGGCTTTCTGATCCATACGTGAAATTGAAACTTATTCCTGATTCAGACAGTGTTAAAAAGAAAACAAAAACTGTAAAGGCGTCATTAAATCCAGAATGGAATGAGACACTTAGTTTGTAAGTATCTACAAAATATTAATTATTTACTTAACGAATAGAACTTCTACAAAAAATAATTATATTTCATTTAAATTCAACATATTCATTAATTCTTACTCATCATGATATCAATTTGTTTCGTCGTCCGACTTGTCTGCAGTCTACTGGTTCGTAACTGACTTACTCCCCAGAGAAGGATTCATTCTGCAAACGTGGATATTAATCAACCTGATTTGAGAAATTAACTTTTTAAAAGACAGAGGCAATTTTACACGCAAATACGATTGCGGGCCAGGAACAAGCGAAAGACTCGGGTATATTTGCAAACTCCTGGAACGCAAGAAAAAATACTTATCCTTTTCCCTCAAAAAAGACTCGTATTTATCAAGAAGTAACTCATGATTAAGAGAATCCACTTCGAGACTTAAACACCACTACACGTCTATCAAACTACATAGTCTTCAAAAAATGATTAAGAGAATCCATTTTGAGACTCAAACACCACTACACATTCACGAGATCATGTACAAGAGCAACAAGTGAACATGTAAAAAGAATTGGAACAACGATCTTGTACAAGAACATGCATATATGTTTATTCATGGTTACTAAAGAAATCAAGTTCACGAGACCGTGCTCGTATACTCGAACAAGTTCGTGTCCCACACAGCACTGAAACTTTGCTGAACATTTATAAAAGGTTTAAGTCCAAACTACGGAATTTTTAGTTGCAATTTTTGGTAAAGATTGAATGAATATTAAAATGTCCGCCATGATTAAATGTTCTGAGCAAAAGTTGAATGAACATTTAAATTAAATGTTTAGCGCTAAGTTCAACTGAACATTTAAAATAAATGCTTTTTTAAATGTTTTTAGCGAAAATATTTGTGAAATTAAAATAATGATTCTTGATATTTTTTATGGAAAACGATTAAAATTCAAATATACATTGAGTACCATATTTGAGAGGCTAACAAATGCATAGCTTAGCCGTAGATGCTTTACTTTAGTACTGCGCATCGTGTTAAGTTATTTGTTTACCGAACATTTAACGAACATTATATTTAAATGTTCAGTCAACTTTCAAGCCCAACATTTAACGAACATTTAATTTACATGCTTAGTCAACTTTCGATCCAAACATTTAATCATGGCGGACATTTTAATATTTATTCAATCTTTACTAAATACTGCTACTAAATTTTCCGTAGTTTGCACTTAGACCTATAATAAATATTTAGTAAAGTTTCGATGTTGTCTGGGGTGTAAGTTCATGTACAAGATATTAAGTTTTCCCTTACAGTTTAGAATCAAAATCTTTAACGCACGATCTTATACAAGTAGGTACACGAGTGAGCCTGATTTCTTTAGTCATTATGAATAAATATATGCATGTTTTTGTACATGTTCTTTTATAAGATCGTTGTTCCGATTCTTTTTACATGTTCACTTGCTGCTCTTCTACATGACCTGGTGAATGAACATGTGCAAGATCAGTACACGATCAGTACATGATCATGCACAAGATCGTGTATACAATCCTGTACAAGTTTTTTCAACCGGGAGAGAAGGGTCCATCCCCGCCATCCTGTTTGAGCCAAAAAAGTACCAACTTAAAAATTGAAAACGAGATATGTATTGAACCTGTTTCTAGTCTTACAGTGTAGTTTGGTATACATATAGGTAGGGATAAGAGTCTTTTATAAAACGAAAGTTGAACACCTTCTAAACGGTCCAAAAAATTATGGCCCACACTTGAATAGCATAAAGAAGAATAGTCAATGACAAGCTCTGAAGCATTTTTTATAAGAATCCCAGGAGTTAACACCACACGAATAAATCACCCTTAAAATCGAACTCGTAGCAACATTCGCAGTACTAATCGATTACCATGCGAATATTGTAGGCAATATTGATTCAATATTGACATAGGCGAAGTTGTAAAATTAATTCAAATTTTCGTCATGATATTCGTATATTTGGTTTAGAATCCACATTACACGACTCATATACGTCAGTTCTAATTCCTTAAAGTTTTGGTTTAGTAAATTAATATACAATTTCTTAATTTTAGTGAGCTCAGATCTGAAGATAAAGACAGAAGACTATTGATTGAAGTATGGGATTGGGATAGAACATCACGTAATGATTTTATGGGTTGCTTGTCATTCGGCATTTCAGAACTCATAAAAGCTCCTGCTACAGGATGGTTTAAACTACTGACACAAGAAGAAGGGGAATTTTACAATGTTCCAGTACCTGAAGAAGGGGTGGATCTTATGGAGCTAAAATCAAAAATGCGGGTTAGTGCAAAGTCCAATATTAATACATTTTACAGTATTAATACTTTCAAATACTAAGTATTATGTTTGGCATAATTTCTAATATTAAAGAAACAGTCTTGTTAATTATGCATATTTTTAGTGCCTCAGAAATGATAAGATAAATTATAAATTGAAAAATGTATACTCTAATCGGGATAAAATAATTGTGTTTATTATTGATGTTAATTTTTTTAATATAAACTTTTATAATACTGTTTGTTACAGTTAATTAGTAAGTTCCAGGCACATGTGGCCGATATTTATATATGTCGTAGGCCGATAGATAATTCTGGCCATTAGTTAAAAGCCTAGTCAATTTGCTAGTGGCTGGTCAGTAGAAGAAATCTAATTTATATATTCTCTGAACGTCTATTTACTTAGAAATATCAGGCCGGTAGCTACTAGTCTAATGATACTTAGCCTATTTTTTTAAGAGCGAAGTGGAAAATCTGTATAACCCATAGTATCCAAGGCAGATACCTGGAGCCCGGTACTCCGAGGTTATGTGGGGATGACCGTTCTTGTTCTGGACGACCCACTAAAAACCACACCCTTTGGCTGAACTAATCCTCACGCTACGGAACTGCTTATCAAGATTTAAACTTCGTAGGTAAAGGTTCTTGCGAGAGTCTCCATGGCTTCTTCGAGGGCTGACCTAAAGACTCTTCTAGCGCCGTGGTTGAGAGAAACCTTGTCGCCGGACTTCGCTTTGCACAAGAAGCAACTGGGACTGCTCTTGCAATCTGCAAACTTATGATTGGCTTCCCAACACTTAAAGCACGCAACCGATCAGTCTGCTTCCTTACAGATTACCATGAGCCTGTTTCTTATTTGGCAGCACATAAAGCCAATCTTATGGGCACCAATTCCTCCAGTCTGGCAGCCTCTTCTTTGTCGGTGAAAACAACTGCGAGCTTCATCTCTCGCTTGTTGGGTCCTAAGACCGTCACCTTCCTACTTCATGGCTTTCCGAGTTCTCCTTCCAGCGCTTCCTGGACTTCTGCTTCATGAGTAAGGAAATCCAGGTCGCGGCTCTCGAGTGTAACCTTCCGATCCACCGTCTGCACCTTACCCATGCTGCCAACAGCCTTGATGTCAGGATTAACTTCCTTGCGGAGCTCTCCCAACACATCAGCATACGTCTTACCTGAAGCGACTCGGACAATGATTATTAATTCTCTCGAATCCTTTATTTTCTTGGACTTAGCCTATTAGAATAAACACTTAAATTTAACTTTGAATCAGTGTAGGTTATGAGAAGAGTGTCTTCAGATTGTCAATCGTGGAATCAAATTCCTCTGTAAATTCCTTGGAATGTTCTTGTGTGGGTTTTACATATATTTTTGTGAAGGATCCGTAAGGAACTTGTGTGTAATCTTGCATGGTTTCTTAAATTAATTAATTTTTTTAACATCCTGCACTGAAAGAGTTTTTATTAAAAAAAATTAAGAAAAATTATAACGTATTTCAAAATTGGGTCACATAGAAACCTGCGAAGGAAATTATATACTAACTCGATATACGATTCCGTAAGTCATCCATTATAGAAATTTTTAACAGGGATACATTTATGAAAACTTCCTATATACTTCTTATACATTTTATGTAAATATAAACTTTAACCCTGAAAAGAAGTACTTCAAAACTAGGTGGATGAAATAAATATTTAAAACTACAATAACACAATTATGCCTTTTTAATTTGAAAATTAAAACAAATTTGTATATGTTTTAAGCAGAAGACTTCAGTCACAAAGAAATCAACAATGACTCAAGACAAAGATGTACCTCACAATATGGGTAAAAGTGACTTAATACGAGCAAGTGATTTTAATTTTTTGATGGTTCTTGGAAAAGGAAGTTTTGGAAAGGTATGGAAATATTAAAATTAGTATTGCTTTTTTAACAATAAATTGACGTTACGAAATGCAAAAGTGTTTATCACTTTTCTCATAATTTAATATTTGTTTTACAAGCAGTTGAGTTAATTAAGAAATAGTTACTAAGGCTTAAGTATTCTTTTGAAAAACACCTGTACAAGTTCAGTAGCCGAACTCCTACCGGTTCTGTTCAGATAAATTAATGCCTAGGGAGTTAATCTAATGTTAACTCAATTTTGAAATTGATTTTTATCTTCAAAAATTTTACTCTTAACTGGGCGAAATTAAAGGCCACCTTGGTAAAAATTCCAGACTAATTTGGAAGTAGTCTGAAACAGTCAGGTTTTTTGTCAGGTTTTTGTCATCCAGAATTAATCCTGCTAAATCGAAAATTTTCCCGATTTGTGTAACTAGTGAATTTGGAATTAATTAGGCCTAATTCGAAGTCAGTCCGATCAAACGTAATTATTGAAAGAAAATTCTAGATTTACTGATTACGCAGGCCAGTTTAATTAAGGATTCAATAAAAGTAATTTTACATTTATTAATTGTGTATGACCCGATTAATTTCGTATTAGATCGGATTTACTAGTCACACAAACAATACTAATTTTGGACATTCAAACTAATCCGAGATAATAGAAACCCGACTCTAAACCGAAATGTTTAGAATTAATTCCACACACGGATTTAATACATACAAAATCTTTGATTACACCAGACTCAATCGGATTCAGATTTTTTAACGGACTCAATCTATGTAGATTGTATGAAAACAGTCCGAAAATGATATGAAATATTCTGAAATGAGTGCGGACAAAAGACAAATATGAGATAAGTCCGAAGTAATCCAAAACTTATATGATATCAGTCCGTAACAATTCGATTCTAGGTCGATCAAAAAACTTAACGTAAAATGAGTTCGTAAAAATCCAGAATTTATATGCACATTGTTGTGGACTAATACCAGATTTTTAATTATGATTTTAGACCTGACTTAATCCGGATTCGTTACACGCACATTGCCTACTAATTCGGACTCCTTTCTAATTAAGATTTTTGTTCAGAGTGCGACTTCTGATTTTGTACATATTAATTACGACTTTTTCCGGAATCATTTCAGAGTAAGATTTTTTACCACATTAAATCAGAATTATTTTGGACTAATACCTGGTTTTTCACATACAGATTTTAGATTATTACGGACTTATGTCGGATTCATTTTTTGACAGTACTTAATCCGCTTACTGTTTCTTCCGAACTAATTGCTGACTAATACGTATCATTTTCGGATTGTTTTCGTACAATTTTTGAACTAATACTGTATACTAATACTGTATTTAATCTGAAATCAGTCTGGAATTTTAACCAGGGCAAAGCAGAATTCCTGTATCCGTTAATTCATTCGGATTCGGCCTTAACTCCTTAAATTTTTCACAATGTATGTAATTCAATAAAATGTACATGAATTTTTTCCAATTTCCTATACAGGGACTGAGCAGAATTTGTAGGAGTTCAGATACTGAACTTGCACAGAAAAATTTTCAACATCTTGTACAGTGCTTTTCAACAGAATACACTGTAAAAAAGGGAGTTAGATTGATGCTAAGGGACTTAATTTTATGCTAAGGGATGTTATCTAGGATTACAAGAAAAATTCGGAACGATTGAGATCAGAAAGAAACGAATAAATTTCTGTATAAAATGCTTTGTGTATTGTCACTGTATTTTTGAGCGATTACATAACAATTATGAAACAATTTTATTGTTACGTGAGAGATCTTGATGTCTTATAATGTAACTGATACATCACAAGGTTATGCAATTGTTATATCACATTGTTTCGAAATAGTTACGTAACAAATCATAGCACTTTTGTTATGTAACTAATATATTACTTGCACTATTAGAAATCAGACTCCAATTTTACACTAAAAAAATTCAAATATATATAGTTTCAATCTCGTAAAGTGTGAATGCTTTTAGAAATTGAAACTGTATAGTTTTAATATTTCTAGTATGAAATTGTAATCCGATTTCTAAAAGTATGGCAATAAAACTTTTATGTCATACTATAATGCTATCGTAAAGCGTTATTTTTTGTTAGTTAATGGTCACCTAACATTATTCCAACAGTGTGATATAACAATTTGACCTTTTCGTTATGTAACACTTACAGAGCGTTTTTGCTGGGACCTCATTTTCGAGTTCATTTTTTCATCTTCAAGGTATTACTGGCAGAGAGGAAAGGAACAGATGAACTATATGCAATCAAAATTCTTAAAAAGGACATTATAATTCAAGATGATGACGTAGAATGCACAATGGTCGAAAAGCGAGTATTAGCTCTTTCAAGTAAACCACCATTTCTTGTACAGCTGCATTCATGTTTTCAAACAATGGTAAGGGCTATATATAAATAATATAAATTATTTTCACATATTTTATTGTTCTAAAGACGAAATTAAAATAGATTATGGAAAAAACTGGCAAAAATAATTCATGTTAGGTAATATAATATAGTAATATATGGGTGTATCTCTGAAACTTTTAACTTTTCAATAAAGAAAATAAAAAAACTTTTCGCAGTACAGTATTGATACTTTGTCTATATATAAACTTCAAGTACCAAACTTTAAAATTTTACAAGTGGACAAATAAAGCGTACTATCTTCAAAAAGTTATTAATCATTCAAAAATATAAATTATTTCTAACCTGTAACAACAAAAATCCAACAAGTGGTTGCTTGTTACGTTAAAAAATAATTGAAATTAGTTGACTTAGTCATAAGTTATTTTGGTGTACCAATTGTCTTATTAAAAAAAAACGGTAAACATCAGGATACGATCGAAAAGGTTAAAGGTGAGGAGCAACTTTTAAAAGCTTATAACTTTTTTAAAAATTAACAAAATATTAATTTTTTATACATAAATGTGTTCTCCGTTTAATAAACTTTAAATTAATGTATCTTAGAATGAACAATATTCATTCTTTACAAAGTTTAATCATTTAAAGCGTGAAAAAGTTTGGTAAAGAACAAGTAGACATTGTTAAATGTTAACATAAAAGTTAAAGGTTTCAGAGATATGCACATATATATAGAAAAATTCTTAGCAATCATGTTTTATGGATTTATCTCGGTAAATATTAAAAGTTTCAAAAAATGATTTAGTCAAAAGTTGTTGATTTCATAAATATTTTTCATATTTTATGTATTTATTACTAAAAATAATTACGATTTTGAAGACAAACTACTGTCAAGGACACCTAGATCCACTGCAACCTTTTTCAGCCACCAGAGAAAGAAGATTATTACGTCGAAGACAGCAAAGGAAAAAGATTAATACAATTTCCAAATACCAGGATAAAAAAATTTTCTCATTTCCATTATATTCCATTAATATCAATAAAGGATTCTGACAAACTTTTAAACTAGAAAACACAAAATCAACTCCTTTCCCTCCTTTTGTTCTTTCATTAATTTTTTCAACGTTTCATAAAAAAGATACTCATTAACTTAAATAAAGGAAAAATAGTTATAAGAGATTTAGATAAAATGGACATATAAAAATATAACAAATATTATGCTTTCTAGCCATTATTATTCAGATAGGTCTCCTTGTTAGTCAGCAATTGTTTTCTGGCAGTAGTATTCCCCGTTATGAGTTTCAGTGGTCTCCTGCACGTTAATAATTGACTCGACTACAAGTTGATAGGTCTGAATATAATGATTGTAATATATAATTTCACAAAAAAGTTTTCAATTTGTAAAAAGCACCATTTTATAAAAACGCTTTATAATATAGATATTAAAAAATAATTATGAAGCTTATGAATTCTTTATTGCAGGATCGACTCTATTTTGTGATGGAATATGTTAATGGCGGTGATTTAATGTTTCAAATACAGCAATGTGGAAAATTTAAAGAACCTGTTGCAGTGTAAGTATAACAAATTTTTTTTTAATTTGCGAAAAATATTGTCACATATTTTTAAAAAACTGAATATTTTTTCAATTTTTTTTACGAGGAAAGTGTAAAGTCTGTATAACCCTTAGTATCCAAGTCAGTTACTTGTAGCCAGTGCTTCTAAGTTATGTGGAACTGACCGTTCTTTTTCTGTTCGACCCACTAAAATTTCAGGAGCCGGATTACAAGTGTGACTTTTCGATTTGTAGACTATACCTTACCCATGCCTCCAATCGCCTTGGTAACCTCTACGTCCGCATGTCTTACCTCTTGCGATTATAATTAAATAAACCTAGCATCTGACCCGACAATTAACACTTTTTACACACAAATTTATGAAATCTTAAAAGGGGATTCATTAGGACAAAACGTTGATGCTTCGACGTTGAGGCAGGCCGGATTATCTTACACTTGCTTACCATGGTGCTAAGCTGCAACTCCTCACTGCAAATCACGCATTAAACAAAGTTTCAATTAACAGTATTTATTATATTTAATAATAATAAGAAATTATACAAAAGCCCGATTTGCGGTTGTCGCTGTCCCAAAGGCTGTTGCCTAAAACTTGAGTATTCAGCGACATCCAAAAAGGAATTCAGCGTCACCAAAGGTGTGTTGCTTCTTTACCGAGCCAGAGGCGCACCACTAGAGGCTTCTTAGAATAGTCAGTTGCCTAATATTTTTTCTGTAATAATCATTATTTTGATTAACTGGTTTTGTTTTGCTCCCTGAATAAACCTGATACATCCTACATCTAGGAATCGTACCCCTATCCACCATCTGGGAGGCGCCTGATGGGAACCATACATCACCCGATGACCCCACAGGGAACATTTGTTTAATTATAAATAGCCATAATTAAATTTTAAAATTAAGTGTATAGTTATGGAAAAAATTTCTGCATCTCACAATCAGACGTAAATCTGAAATCCCAAGTGCTGAGACAACTCGTCCCTAATGAATTGCCTCATCTGCCGTGTTACGTATGAAGTTCGTAACGTCTTCTTAATACATTATTAATAACTCCTTAATACAATACTTAGAAAAGAGAACACATTATGAAATACAGAAAACAAATAACACATTATATGAAATGCCTTTAGAATTTCTTGGAGCTGTCCAAATGATTATATATTAAATGTTAATATTCAATTAATAAACTAAATTTTAAAGAAGACTTATTTAATTCTCATGATGAAATTGAGAAACTAAGTGACTTAATTTAATACAAGAAACAAAGGATGATGCAATAGACTGCTACATCCGAGGTATGACCATTCAAACTGAATTGGAACACTACCCCAATATTGCAAGGTTGCAATAAAATCATTGACAACAATAAAGTTGTTAAATAAAATATACTTTTCCCCACCAAAAGTCAACTTAATAAAATCAGTTGACACACGAAGATCGAGGTCTTTCAAGTATGGTTTTCGAGTGAGACAGGTGGAAGAACCCCTTAGATTAGGGTTGTTTGGAGTCAGTGTAGGAGTGTCGAGAGAGAGAGCTCAGTTTGGGAGCTTGGAGTTTTGAGAGTTTGAGTCTCTGAGTGAGAGACTCTTTGAAACAAACCTCTAGTTCGAGGTTGTTTCCATTTGGAGTTTTTATTTTGAGCTTTTAAATTGGAGTTGTGATTTTTTTGGGTTTGAGATTTGATAAAAGAGAATTTATTTTTGAGTTTGAACAAAAAGTATATAATTGAGTTTTTAAGATCAATTAGTTTCGATTTGAGATTGAAAAATAAATAGTAATTGAAAAAAAGGTTTATGTTTTATATTGAGTTTGAAATTATTTGACATAATTGTTTGAGAAAAAAAGGGAATCGAGTGTTTTGAAGATACAATTCTAAGGAATTCTAGAGATAATTATCATAAGAGTCAAGAAACTCTAATAAATTTCACAACACAATATTCTTACACACATATTACATTTCACACATAAAATTGTATTTAAATCAAATTGAAGTTGTTTGAACACATAATTTACTATTGTATGTATCATTTGGGTTTCTTACACAATATATATTTATGTACAACTATTTAAATATTTGTTTCACCTTTTCTTTCAAATACTCCTAAAACCAATTGTTCTTTAAATATAGAATCTCAACCAACTCACTGAATAATAGTAAGGTAAGGAGGGGATCCACTACCTATACAATTTAATTGTCCGAAGGGTAACGTGAGGTAAAGAATTAAGATCTTTTAGAGTTTATTGGAAAATATCAATCTTTGATTGATACAGTTAAAAACTCATTTTCCATTTTCAAAATTCGTCATTAACATGTGTATTCAAAATACAAGTTCGTTTCTCGTGCCAATGACTGTGTTCCTCCATTAATTCCAGAATTAAAAAAAAAAATTTTTCCTCTAAAATTGAAAAATATGTATACTCTAATCATTAAATTTAATTATCTGTTTTTTTGTACAGATTTTACGCTGCCGAAACTGCAATTGGATTATTTTATTTACACTCTCGAGGAATCGTTTACCGTGATTTAAAATTAGATAATGTGCTCTTGGATCAAGATGGACATATTAAAATAGCTGATTTTGGAATGTGCAAAGAAGGCATAACAGGTGATAAAACTACAAAAACTTTTTGTGGTACTCCAGACTACATAGCTCCAGAGGTAAAAAATTAATAAATATATTGTTTTAATTGTCTATAAAAATTTTATATAATTAAAAATAATATAATCTTTTTGATATTTATATAATAAAAGAGTTTAGAGTATAAAAGAGTCATGTTTTAATCAATTTGATAAAAGAAGAGTCATTTTTCTGTGAACTTTTTGTATGAGAACGTGTGAGAACTATCGAATTTAATTAGCAACAATTAAAAGTTGAGAGTAAAAAATTGAATTATTCAAAAAAAATTTTTTCAGATTATCTTATATCAACCTTATGGAAAATCTGTTGACTGGTGGGCTTATGGAGTTCTTTTGTATGAAATGCTTGTTGGTCAACCACCTTTTGATGGAGAAGATGAGGAAGAACTATTTGCAGCTATTACTGATCATAATGTTAGCTATCCAAAAAATTTGACGAAAGAAGCAAAGGAAGTCTGCAAAGGAGTAAGAAACAAAATTTGAAATATTCATTAATTTTTTTCTTTTTTAACTAACATTCACACCCTAACAGGACAAGGAATAATAGAAAATATGAAAAGAAAAATAAGGAATATTTATCGAGAATTATAAAACTTCTTAACTTAGACCACAACTTTTCAGATGATAATCTTTAAATGTCTGCTTAAAAAAATACCTAAATTTTCTTACACTAATTTCAGTTTCTTACGAAAAATCCAAACAAGAGATTGGGCTGTGGATTGCGAGGTGAAGATGATGTTCGCAGTCATGCATTTTTCCGTCGCATTGATTGGGAAAAAATTGAATATCGAGAAGTTCAACCCCCTTTTAAGCCAAAAATTGTAAGTATAAAGAGGTTATATGATTTTATATGTAAATATTTTCCGCAGGTTTTCTCGCAACATACTTGACAGATTGAGCTACAATTTTATGAAGAACTGAAAAATAGTACAATGATTCGTTGTCATGTACCAGGGTATATTAATATTATGTTAAAAAATTGAATATTAGGAGAAGTGACCAATCGTATTGCCGCCACATTAAATTTCCCTCAAATATGAAATAATTTAACAATAAAAAATTTTTGACAAAATATTAATACTCTGGCATATAACAGCTATTGTAATTTATAAGTTCTTCATAACAAGTTCTTCAATCACAACAATCACAATATAATCTTAAGTGAAAGTGCAATTGAAATGTATATATTTAATAAGCTGAGTTAAACTTTACTAGTAACTCTATAGAAAATCCCTGTATAAAATCTTCAAAATTTTCATGAACAAGTTCAGTAGCAGAACTACTGTCAGTTCTGATCAGCTCCTGTATAAGAAATTGTATATGTGCTGCATAAGGATTTTGATCAAGTTCATGTACATTTCTTGAGTTATTTATGATTCTGTACTTGTTCATAGAAAATTTTAACAACTACATCATATAAAAATTAATTAAAAAAATTGGTGGACAAAATTGAATTTTTTAGTAAACATTAGTTAACAGTTCATCATAAATTAAAATAAAAATATTTACTATTACTTTTCTAATGCAAATTTACTAATATATTAAAAACAAAGTTTTAATTCTTTTTTGTTAACCCTTTCTGTTAACAAACTGATATATTTATTTAAGCACAGGTGTTTTTTTTAATTTTAATAATAATCTACTCTAAATTTCACATTTTATTTTACAGAAACACCGAAAAGATGTTAGTAACTTTGACAAGCAGTTCACATCAGAAAAAACAGATCTCACGCCTACTGATAAGCTCTTCATGATGAATCTAGATCAAACAGAATTTATGGGATTTTCATTTTTGAATCCAGAATTTGTGCAGCATATATAATAAAAATTTTGATAAACACTTCATGCACTTTACACTTTTCTACAACTTAATATTTAAGTCAATCAGATTGTTGTATTAAATAAAATTTCTTTAAATGTATTATCACATAAGTCAGAACTATTGTTAAAAACAATGTTTCTTCTCTCGTCAAACGTAAAATTATAAGTTATGTGTATATTAGTAATCATTTAAATCATTTTCATTAGATATAGTTGAACATAATAAAATCTTGTTTATATATCCGAATCCTATAGATGCACATTGATTGTATACAAATGGATTGCAATGGATTTTACTTGTTTATAAAAAAATTTTAATAAAAAGAGATCTTATAAAGTATTTTTTCATTTACAGTATATAAATTTAACATTAATGTACCAGTTTTCACAGATAAAAATTATTGCTTTTAATTGCTTAAATATAAATTACAGGTATCGTATGGGAATCTTTTCAACAAATATAACCTAGACAGTTTGAAATGTCATGTGCCTGTGAGGTGTCAATGTATAGTGCATTTCTAAATAATTGATCCTGATGTTGTGAGGATATTTTTTTTAAAACTTCCAATATATTATTATACAAAGAGGGGAGCTAACGAAATTGTCAGCTACTTATGGAATCACATAAGCAAACATTAAAAAAGGAAAGAAAAGCTTCCATTTTTACAGTGAAAATTGTGATGGTCAAAATAAGAATAATATTCTATTCACTATGTATACGCTAATTATCCACTGATATTTGAAATATATGAAAATTCATATATACTATTGATTTGGTTTCTAAAAAATTAGTAATGTCCTAGTTGACAAGTCTGATATAATGAAATTTTTTTTTGTGCGTGTGACATTACAGGATACAATATTAAAAAAAAGTGAAATAGTATGCGCTGACTGTTTGAAATTGATCATTTTTACCCAGGTGCGAATTTTCCGTCGGCCCATGGTTGGGCCAACTTTGCAAAAGTTGGGACAACTTCACCTGCCAAAGGGTGGGCCAACTAGCGAAATGATAACGGTTTACCACCCATTGTCATCGATGGTCGGCCCAACAACTCGTCCCAAGGTTGGTCCAACTCTAAAAGTGTATGTTGTACCAACTATAATTCTCATTGGTTGGCCCGACAATTTGTCCCAAAGTTGGTCCGACAACTTGTCCCAGAGTCGAACCAACTTTAAATGAGTATGTACCAAAAATATAAATAATTAAAAACATGAATTAATTATACAATTAGCACACTGGTAAGTTCTGAAGAATTTTACATATGTCCTTACTTATTAATATTAAACGCAATCTCCTAATACATTTTTGAAAATATCTAACGCTCGCTGGGATCGAACCCCTAACCTAACGCATCGCAGTCTTATACGCTAACCATTACGCTACGCTTACATGGGATTTTTTTTCAGAAATGTATTTGAAAGCTGACTGAAGAAAATAATAGCTTAGGCAGCATTAGAAGAATAAAGAAACAATAATGATGCGGCACGACATACATATTTTAATAAAAAATATATTTAACAAAATTGGTAAACGTTATTAAAAAATGAAATATTTTAAAACTAATGAAATGAGGATTATTCTGAATTTATTAATTAAAAGCTTATCAAATTCTGCATTTAACATGCCTATTATATGAAGTACTTTGAATTAACGAATTGTTAACAAATAATTAATAAAAACAATTTGGCCAACCATAGCGTTTAAGTCTTTTAAACTACGTTTGCCGAAGTTTTGACTGACGGTCGGGCCAACCTTCACCCAGAGTTTGGCCAACCGAAGCATTTAAGTCTTTTAAACCATGTTTCCCGAAGTTTTGCCGGCGGTTGGCCCAACTCTGGTTTAAGTTGGGCCAACGGTTGGCTTTACTCAGCATGCCATAGTTGGCATGCAAAGTTGGCCCGACCTTGGTTACTTGTAAATACCCAGGTTGGACCAACTTTGGTTACCAAACTTCGCTTGCCAAAGTTAGGCCAACCTAGGCCCAACCATCCAACTCTGGCAGCCAGCCTAAATTCGCACCTGGGTAGTGAGAGGAGTGGATGGTCAAAATAAAATTCAATAGGCCACAGTTTTTTTCAAACTTGAAACTCACCACACTTCAACCTTATAACAGTAGCTGTTCTTTAAATTTTTTACAGACTTTTAGGTCTTATAATTTTAGAGTTTCAGCTACATGAACAATTTTTTTTCTCAATTTGTTCCAAAATTAATAATAGAGCCCTTTTAGCTTCACTTCCAAGAAATTTTCAAGGATGAATTTTATACATTTTTTTGTCGGAAAGATGGTAATAAATGAAATGGTTACATGAAACCGATGACTTTTTGGGATTGGCTAAACTTCAATACGCCATCACTTCGGACAACCATTTTCCTTTTTCGTATTTCTTTAATTAATACGATAGAAAGAGAAATAAAAACCAAAATGTCTGACGAAGTATAGGTAAAAGGCACTAGACCGCCAATCCCATTAGTGTCCGACAATAAATATGCCCAACCCAAATTGCCCGACCACTTTATTTTAAATAATTTTATTGAACGAGTCTGTAAAAATCAGCTTGCTGGTTGTAAATTAATTTTTTTTTTAAATTTGTCCTGTTAAACGTGACCGACTGGCCAAATGACCCCAAATTTTTGTTTGACATAATGATTTTCTCTTTGTATATGAAAATAACTTTATATTCAAATAAGAATTAACATGCTGGTCATAAATTTTTTGACTATCTTTGGATCTTCTTGGCCCATTGTCATTAGTGAACTTTATGTGTTTAGTTAAGAATCAAAAACGGGTAATTATTAAAAGAGACTCGGGTAGCGTCAGATGACAGACTTGGTATTCAAATTTAAAACCATTTTTCGAATTGAAGATATACAGTGCCGCTCAGCAGATTTTGCCCACCTTTGAGAATTTTACGCTTGGCGAAAAGTTTTATATTTCGGTTGCTAATAAAGATATAATAATGAGTGAGGACTTTTTTGAAAGCTTATATCTTCTACTTTTATGATATCTAAAACAGTCGACATGAAAAAAAAATTTTTTTATTGTTTAATTGCTCAAAATAAAAATCCAAAATTTCCGGTTTTTTTTGTAATTTTAAAATCGCTGCAGTTTTTAAACTAGTCATCACATTTTAATCGTTGATAAGCCATTTGAAAGCTAATTTTATCACCTTTAAAATGATTCCTTGTAAACTTTAATACGATAATTTGTAACAAAGATATGGACAATTGTTTAAAAAAACTGCACTTTTTTTCAACTAGTCATAACTCAAGAACGATTGAGTTTTGAAAAAAATTGTTGAGAAGAAAAATGTGTCAATATAATTTCAATAATGGCACCCAATAATGGAGCATTATTGGTAAAGTCATGGCTGTCCACGCCGATGCCAATGATTGGCAACCATCATTGGCAAATTATTGGCAACCAATAATTAGCCAATATTAAAAATTTTAATAATAATTTAGAAAATCAACTATTTAAAATGAATTTTTTTTATTTTTATTATTTTTTAATAGTTATTATTATTATTATTATTATTATTATTATTATTATTATTTTATTTTTAATAGTTAAATTAAAATAAAAAAATGGTCATCACAGTATTTATTTATTTATTTATTTGAAACATAACGGGACATGCCCTTTCGTACAAAAGTACTCCTAAATCTAAAAATTACAATAATATATTTTACTAAATCTAGGTAGCCACTTAAGAAATGATATTTTAGTTTTCGTTTAGCAAGATACTACGTAATGATGATGTGAATCGTGTGACATTATTATCAAAGAAATTAATGTCGTTTGAAATCATGTTTGCCTCTCTGCTGAGTCTAGCAATCAATGAATTATTACCATAATTAGTTCTGTGAAATGCCACCGAAAACAATGTATATCGCCTAGAAAACATTCTGGGCACTGATAAATTTATCATAGAGAGAAGTGAAGGACAAAAGATAGCTCCATTCATAAGTCTATACAAAAAAGCTATATCTGCAAAGTAGAACCGTGAATTTAACAATGGTATATTTAATACCGATCTAAGTTCCCTGTAATCATGTGTATGCAAGTCAAAGGGGATATTGAGTAATCTCGCAGCAAATCTAAGAAATTTGTTCTGAACACGTTCAATTCTGATTATATGGAAGACGTAGAAAGGTGCCCAAATGATACATGCATATTCTATAATTGTTCTGACAAGCGTCAGGTACAAAGTCCTGATGGTTAACATAATATGAAAAACTGAGGCACATCTCATTATAAAACCCAAGACTTTAGAGGCTTTTGAAACAGTCTCAGTAATATGATCATTAAATACTAAATTACTATTAAATACAACACCCAAATCACGCACCCTCTCTACTCTCTCCAAAATATGACCATCAATAGTGTAGTTGTTTAAATATAAATTTACACTACCTTTCGAAAAGGTTACAACAAAACTCTTTTTAATGTTTATACTTAAATGATTTTTAACACACCATCTTTGGAGTCTTTTTAAGTCTTTTTGTAACTTCAAAATATCTTTTTGAAAGGTAGACGGATGAATCACTTTATAACACTTGAGGTCGTCAGCATAAAGTAAGAACGAGGAGTGCCTGAATATTTGCTTAATATCATTCATATATAAAATGAACATTAAGGGACCATATTAGTATTAGTAAAACCATTTCTTCCAAAAAGGAGTTTGTCTCAAACCCAATAAATAGGAGAGACATCGGGCAGAAAACTAAAGTCCAGAGCTGAGCCAACAGCGCAGCGCGGGAACATTTGAAAAATTTGATTTTATTAGATATTTTATTTTAAATATGACAAATAATTATCTTAATAAATAATTAATGTAATAAATAATTATTAATAACATGTCATACTTAATAATTCGTTAATTAATTTTTTAACGAAAATTTGACAAAGAAAAATTTGTGGCCGAAAAAATATTACGATAAAGAGAAATATTTTGTGGCCTAAAAAAATTATCACGATCAGAAAATAATTTTTTTACTATGAAAATTTAACAAAAAAATTATTTTCTTTATCGGAATATTTTTTTTTGGCCACAAATTTTTTTTTGGCAAATTTTCGTTGAAAAAATTAATTAACTAATTATTAAAGGTGCTTATATACCTCAAATTTCGATCAGATGAACATTATTTCTGGACCGTGAAAATGCGTGAAAAGTCATTTTCACGGCGGGTATTTTTGAATTGTTTTAAACAAAAAATGTTTTTTTAAGAAATATAATATTAAATAATTGTTTTAATATGTAAGAACACTTTTAAATAGTGATAAAAAGATGATTTGATTGAAAAATTTAGCAAATTTTGCTTTAAAACGTTTCTGCTAC